ACCCTCTGCAGGTGGTGAGTCCACAGGAGGACGGCTGCTCTCTGACTGTGAGCATAGCCTTGATCTTTCAGTGGGGGCTTTGGGCAAAGTGGGGTTAAGTGTCTTGCCCAAGGACACAACGACAGCAGTCATCAGTGGGAGTCGGTGGAGAAGGTGTAGAGGTGGGAAATGAACCCACAACCTTCAGGCCTGAAGGCCAATGCTCTACCAACTGAGCTACTGTCGCCCCTGAACTTGATTTTGATATCAAAATTTGGGAAAAAAACACACATTGTTGAAAATCATGGCAAAGGCAAGTTTATTTGTGTAATGCAACTCAAAGTGCAAAACAAGACAGGAACCACAAAAGTCCGAAAACAAGTGAAAGCACACAGTGCAATCATTCGTTTCAATAATAATGTGGATTAATTGCATATTGTGGTCTTGAAGATACATTTACCAGGACATGGGTACATCATATGAACAATAGAAGGCCATGGCCTATATAGTAGTACAAAAACAAGATAAAATAGAAGTACAAGACACACAATGTTCTTTGTTTGTGTATCTGCTACGATTGTGTATCCGTTGTTTTAGCTGACTGACGCCTGGGTTTGGCTCTTTCATGATAACGCAAATTCCAATATATAATGTTTCCCTGTTTATTGTTCTGCCTGAATCTACCGCCTGCTGTGAATAAACTTCCAGGTTGCTCTGGTGTGCAAAGATCCCTGCCTATGCGTCTGATTTTCGACAATCCCCTACGAACTAGTTTAAAGCAGTTTTAAATGTATGATTTTGTTGTTTTCCAAAGGTAGTGGTGAGCTCCAATCAGCTGCTATTATTCTGTACATTTTATTTTATACAATCCGTTTCTTTTTTTTCTCGATAAGAATATATCATCCATCCAATGCATTGAATATTGCAATCTTTGTACATACATCTTCTCTGTGGATTTGAACTGCTGAAAACTCAATAAAGAGGATGAAAAAAACTCAATTCCATTTTGTGACTTTGTAAATGGAGATGAATAAGGTTAAAGAATGCACTTTTGTTCCTCCATGACATTTAAAACACTTTGGACCGTCTCTCTCACTGTATCAGTTAACGCAGACAATAAAACACACTTTCCTTAATAAACTCAATGTAAAGGCCGTAGGGAGAGAGGTGGCGTACAAACTGCCTGGCGTGACGCTATGCCTATACCGTGCCGTGTTTGATGGGGATTTTGCGCTCCCAAATGGAAATGCATGTGAAATGAGCAGCCCTCTGTGGCCCCCACGGTGCGCAAAGATGGCGTACAGCAATAATCTTAAAAAATGTAATTAAACACAGATAAGATTAATACAATCAGGGCGAGATGATTGAAAGATGCTGTTGTTGTGTTGGCGGGGGTGGTGGGGGCCCCGAGCTCTGGGATTAGCTCAGCCAGGTGGGGGCAGCATTTAAATTAGCAGTGAGATGACAACCCCCATTAGAAGGGATTAAGGGCCCGCTGGCACCGGCTCTGCACCGGAGACTGGCAGGGGCATCCGTCAGCCGGGACCCAAGGCGACGGCCACAAGTCACTCACTCGACGTTCTTATTCGTGCGTACGGAGTGAAAAGTCTTTTGAAACTACTACATGCATTTGCCTCGTGTTTTACAGAGCATTGTAAAACCAGATGCCTATTGAGATCTGGAGCCATCAATAACAAAAAGGATATTTTGTCACATTTTGTGTTTCTGTTGCTATGGCGCTCTCTCGCTCACGCAGCATGGCTCAAGGTACTGGAATAAATGTTCTAGATGTTTCAGGAATTTGATGGGAAATAGGCCAAAGGTGAAGCTCTGAAACATTGTAAGTGACAGAGAATGACTGAAGGCAATAATACAGATAAATAAAATAATAAAGTTTACGAAGAAATGTAGGGAAGTGTTTGTGGGAAGTCAAGTTGCTGTATAGAAAGTGTCCTGGATTTATGAGCTCATGTAGAAATTCTGTGCCAAAATGGTTTACGTAAGAATCTTGAAGTCAGAATTAAATTTAGAATCTTAAATAAGATTCGACAAATGATTTTTCAAAAGCATAAAGTATGTTTTTATAAATGAATCAAAGAGTTATTCATGCTTCCAAAAGCTTGAACGTATAACTTCAAATCAATGTTTTTTTTGTAAATCCCAAAATCACAACAGTAGATGTTTAATCACCAACAGAAGATTAGAAAATCAACCATTTACAACAAATTAGGGCTGTAATTAACAATTATTTTGATAATTGATTTAGTGGGCAGATTATTCTTCTGTTTAAATTAGTTGTTTAGATTCCAAAAGATCAGATTTATTTTATTTTTTATACTTTTGACCAAAAAATCTCTTGTGACGCCTCTGGAGAAAATCTTCACAGACTTTTTACACTTTTTACACTTGTCTGATCAAAAATACTTTACTGTAAACACATTTCTATTTCGTTCTTCCGTCATTATATAATCACCCGACTCTTCTCAGCTGTTAAAGTCCATGTGAATTTCAAGGTCAAGGTCAAGTTTATTTTTGTTTATTCAAAACACGATTAATCAATTACTAAATTAGCGACAACCATTTCAATAATCAATTAGTTGTGATTGATTGATTGTTTAACTAACTAAAGCCTTGTTAGAAATGCAACAATAAAAACATCCACAGATCATAGCGTGACCAGAAATGTCTAAACTGGTTCCATACCAGTTATTATCAATATATTTATGTATATTAGAAAATCTTATGTTAAAACAGTCAAAAATAATTGGCACAACCTTGACTTAATCCAAGCAATCATTACCTTTTTATCGTGTTATCTCTTTCTTTTCTCTTGTTTCGTCGTGTTACGGTCAAAACAAAACTAGCAATTAGTCCTAAATATAGAAGTGATTAAAACTAAGTGCACATTCTCCAAAATGCCCTTGTCATATCTGCGTTCACACTCCGCTCCCCACTTCTGTCGCTAATTGAAAAAGGACAGCGGCCAGGTTCTTTGTGGGGCGCCCTCCTACCGGCGCGCGACCTGCAGTTTGGAAACCCGCCGCGCTTGTCTGTCTGCGCGCGCTGTGCTAACGTCAAAAAGCCAGTCGGCGGAATTACTGGCTTAGTGCCACCTGACGACGACACGTTTTTGTTCCTGGTGGCATTCCCTGTGACAAACAAAACAAAAACGCCACAATCCGATTAGAAGCGCGCTGATTAGCATACATTAGCATGAGAATAGCACTGTATGGCGGGACAGTAGGAAGCGCAGTGTGGTGTTATGGGACAAGGTTATATCCCCGTTGGAAAAGCATGTTCCCCCGGTTCGCCTCGGCCTTCGCTGCTCATAAAAGTGTCATCTCCAGCGCGGCAGCTTACAAACAAGAACTTTTAGAGCCTACCACCTGCTGGAGCTGGACGCGCCGGCATTACCGAGATGAGAGGAGAGTCCCTTCATGCTAACCAACTGCTGACAGCTCGCAGATAAAAAACTAGATGCCTCGCCGGATGATTTATGGGCCGATAAACACGCGGGTTTGTCCAGGAATTCGTGACATAGTTTCTCGTGTTGTGTACTTTAGAATTCTTGCCGGAAGAAGAGCTCGGAAAATGCGCAGGAGTGGAAGTAATAACCCAGTGTTGCTGTTGAAAGTGAAAGTAAACTATTTTGGGTATGCATGTATAGATTTACAAATGAAAAGGGTGTAATCGGTGATCATTGAAAGCCCTGGGAGTCCGTCACTACGGCGATAAATTGACAAGTGCTTGTTGTGAGGAGTATTTGTCTTGATTGAATGAGTGAATTTCGACTGTATTTAAACAGCCAGCATGAAATATTGTGGTTTAAGATCTCTCTCAGCGCTGGTGCATCACAGCAAGAAGGCCCTGGATTCTAATTCATGTTCACCCCGTGTTAGTTCCGGTTTCCTCTGGGTACTCAGGTTCCCTCCAGGTGCTCCGGTTTCAACTACCACTAAAAAAAAACCATATCGAATAGCGCTGGTATGCGGCGCGTGTATGGTGACCCCGCTTCCATTACAGAGTGTTGAGAGGAAAATTTGTGACTCTGTGAAATGTGCTTTATAGAAAACAAAGAAAAAATAAGGAAATGAGCAAGTAAGATCCATCCTGTTTTAAGATCAGAATCATACATGCAACTTCTCACTCGAACTGAGGATAACAGTTCTTCCAAAACTGCTTGAAGTCGCCTTGCAAGAAGTTGTATCGACGCCCTTTAGAGGCAGAAGAATATTGCCATTATTGAGATGACGTAAGTAAGTAATCTTTATCTATATAGCGCATTTCATAAACCAGGGTCACACTAAGCACTTCACAATGGGTTGGAGTAGCGATATACTGTGAAGACGGAAGCAAAACCATGAATTTTGTTAGATCCTTGTCTGAGTCTAACTAAAAAGATCCAGGACACTGAAAATTCCACAACCTTCATGGACTTTATCAACATTTATGGACATTTGCCATGAACTCCTTACGGACCAATGGCTCTATGTGTTTTTATCGTTGCAATTCTTGTGTTTGAACGGTTTGATTCTCTGATGTGTTGGCAAATTCAACGGTTTTGTTAAGTCCTCTGAGATAACTACTGTTGTATTAGGGCTATATACAATTGAATACATTGAATTGAAGACACTGGTGCACCCAAGCCTCACTGTACGTTCACTCATTACATTTATGCCTATTGTACATGATTTCAGTGAAAGCGGAAACATGGGATTCCTGCGGAGACACGGGAAGAGCATGCAAACTCCATACAGACCCCACCCAGATCATGCCACGTTGGAAGACATACTTCGCAGGTCTGGGTCTTGTTTATTTGCGCCGCGGTCTGGAGCCAGGTCTCTACTAATGAGTCTACTTTAACGGCTTGATAGAGAGACTGTGAAAACGCAAAAAATGAATAAGCCTGGATTTACTTATTGAATCTCTTTTCGGACCGATAAACTTCCAATGTCGGTCCAATGGAAAAGTTAACGCTGCAGACAAACCGTCTCCGTGGCGAGGGATGAGAACAGCTTGAGATGGAAGAGGGCAAAAACATGGCCGACGAAAGACACCAGCTTTTCACTTGTGACTCTTGGTATTTTACTCAACTCTGGAGAGCTGCTAGTTGCCTGGAGCCATATACACCACCAGAGAGAGTGTGTGTGTGTGTCTGTGTGTGTATGTGTGCGTGTGCGTGTATGTGTGTGTGTCTATGTCTCCAGCGAATGCACAAAATCAAACAATTAGCAGGAGGTTAAGGTACGGTGAAGTCTGTCCTCCGGCATTAGCAGAAAATGACACTAAAGTAAAGTTTTCTGACGTTTTGAAATTAAAAGACAAATATGTCAACAATTTGCATTCATATTAGATTTAGATAAATGTGTTTTAATCATCTTGTATCGGACCCACTCCTGGAGCAGAAGTGGCATCAACGTGGTGGTTTTTAAAGAAGACATATGATGGAGAATTTACTTTCTATAGCTGTTGTTTTTATCTTATGTTTACCCATTTCAAGTAGATTTTGATTCATTTGTGCTTGTTTGAGTAATTGATAAAACATTGATTCATAATATATAGAATTCGAACCATTTGGGAAACTACAGGGGCGTATTGGAATGAATTTAATTGTGATCAGAAATAATACAAAAATAACAATAATTGCAAAAAATATACAAATCTGCCAGTTGTAAGATTTTTCATCTGTTTTACTGTTAGGGAAACCTCTATTCATAATGTGTAGTGAAATGCATTTGGATCTGAATACATATCTTGAGATGGGAACATTTTGGTGGTGATGGGGAAACGTGTTTTTAGTTTTTAAATGTCATGTAAATGTCATATGGGCTGCTTGATGTAAAAGTTGTTGCTTGAAATAGAAGTAATACAACTAGACTAACACATGTTCTATACGTTAAGTTTGACCAATTATTAATAAATAAACAAAAACAATATTTTTTTTTACTGAATGTTTTTATGTTTACTGCTGCTATATGTTTACTGCTTCTTCAATTCAATTAATTTTTTGTATTTCCTGAAAGCACAACAGCAGTCATCTCGTCAGACTTCGCAATGTTATCGATCGCCAACATCAGATCAGAGAATCAGACCGTTCCAACTCAGGTAATGCAGTGATAACAAACACATACTGTAGGAGTCATTGATCCAAAGGGAGCGGGATGACCAATGTCCATAAATGTTCATAAATATCCATGAATGTCCTTAAAAGTGCATGTACGGACGCATGTATCTCCTTGTTTGTCATTTTAGTTTAATATTTCAATGAACGCCGGTAGACTGAAAACAATAAGGTAGAATCAATGACAATCAATGAGTTTAAAGACTTACTAATGCCAAGTTACAGCACTCAATCATTCACTATAGCTGCATTAATGATAACACATACAAAGTGAGAAAATCAGTGAGAAAATATGAGTATTTTTAATTCATATCCCCCAATATACTGACATTTCTCGATGGTTACTATTCCATGGCAGGCTGTATGTGCCACATTGAAAGTGAAATGCTGTGTGTGATCCTCCGTGAGGGCATCGGTCCACATGTATACATTTACACAACACAAAAACATGACACACACGGCCTTCCTCTCGCAGCACGGAGCGGTTCAGCCTCTCTCTAAGTGGAATTCTTAACATGGGACCTCCTCACAGCGTGCTTTTTGCTGTTTACATAAAAGACGCCGGGCCCTGGTCTTATAGTCTGGGACATTGCACCCGGGACCAGCTCCTCGCCGGCCTCTCCCTCTTTCTCTCTCTCTCTGCAAATGGGGAAAAACATGGACGTTAAATGTACAAGCAGAAAACAAGGTCCATGTGTCTTGTTCCCGACATGAAAGTTTGCAGCCTGGTTTGTTTTAACACAATTGAGAGAGAGCTTTATAGGACTGTGCGTGCTGGATGTGCGACATAAATCTACATTTGTTTCAGTCCAGCTCTTGTGCAATTTCTTCATTTGTGGTGGAGCACTCATTGTAATATCGCTTTCATATGGGCTTTAATAGTGTAGTAGTTTCATTCACGAGCAGACAAATATACGTCCCAGAACATAATAACAAGTAATCAGTCTACAGTCTATAGTGTATGGCATTTTGAGATACTTTAAACAGTTAATCATGTTTTCCTTGTTTGTGTAATAAGTGTTTCTTTATGTTGAAAAAGTAAAAAAAGCAACAATTACTAACGTCATTTTATTTTTTAAGGGGGTAAAAACATTGTAATTTAGATTTTGATGAATTCTATCAAGACATTTTTGTTAAGGCAATAATTTTTGTTAAGGCAATAAGTTTTACACACAATATTAAAATCAAATGATATGTGATGACTGAAAATGTAGTCTATACACTGTACAACGCAAAATATGGTTTCAACATCAACAAAAGAGGGACTGCCACAAGCAAAAAAACAAACACATTAAATTAGACCATGAATAAATGAAAGTAAACACATCAAAACGAATGGAAATAGACTTTCTATTGTTCTAATTTACATTTTTGGCATCCCACGGACATTTTGTCCAACTGTGGAACAAATAAGGGATCTTGAACTCTTTAACAAATAGTATCATATATTTTATTTTTTTTCAATGAACTTGATATGTGCGTCCAGAGGTGCCGATTGAGGAACAAATTAGGAATCTTTTCCATAGAGAAGAACAATTCAAAACAGGATATTGTTTTTTTTCAATGGGGAAAAATGGTCCACATTATGCATAATAATAATAATAATAATAATATAATATTCATAATACTCATGAAAATGTGTAAGTTAGCCTACATATGCACAGCATTTATGTACAGTGAATATTTATGATTAAAGCCTTAGTCTTGTTTCTGTCTTTATGTGTTGAGCACTTTGAGTCGCCTTGTGTATCATGTGCCATACAACTAAACTTGCCTTGCCATTTAGACCGTTTGGGTTGAGCGTAAAATAAAGTGCATTACAATGTTATTTTATTTAAAATCAAAAATAGATCACATTTTTATTAGCAGCCTTTTCAACTTGACCCTCTCCAACCTGTCTGCTCTTCCCTCTCACAGCCACGGTCCGTGTGCGTCAGTTTGCGCCGCTTTGAGCTTTACGCGCGGCCCCTCCACAGATCCGCGGGAGTCCAGCGCTGGTCTGACCCGTGTCCAGCCTCCCTCCAGCCCGCCTCGGCTCTCCCCATACCCCGCTAAGTGCTGCTCCTCTCCAGCTCCCCGTGGGACTCCCTCCCGCTCGTCTCATATGGAGATGGATGTGCTGGTGCTGGATGTGCTGGTGCTGGATGTGCTGGTGCTGGATGTGCTGGTGCTACACTGCCCTCTACTGGCACAAACACACAACGCCACGTATAGAGCATAGACGTTCACTGGACACAGGACTGGACAGAAGTGAACCGAAAGATTGGGGAAGACTTGGACGAGAGGGAGTGTGAATATGGTCTAAGCACATCAGCCAAAGCTTAGAGAGGTAAGCTGTGAAAATAACTGGTTCTGGAAATGTTTTAAGATTTTTGTTACTTCATTTTTTTAGTGTTATATAGTGTTGGGGAGTAATGCAATAACATGGGAATATATATCAGCATACTATTGTTGAGAGAAACTATTTGGAAAAGGCCTGCACTACGTTATTTTGGTGCTATGCAGATTTTTTTTTTTTTTTTTTAGCAGAAGCAATACATATACAATTGATCAAGCAAATTTGCTCTTTTATTGATACCGTCAGTACAACTACTGATATGTTTTGATCTTCTCTTTAGCAATAACAAAAAAAACGCATAAATGTAAATATAGCCGAAATGGAATATGTTACAAAATACTTCTTAAAGCATTTAGTAATTTGTGACTAAATACCTTTTCATAGTATTCTCCCCAACACGGTCAACTAGGATTGATCATAATCCAACAATGAAAAATGGTTTGGTCAATGAACACGTTTAAGCTTCTTCCAAAGGTTTTCTCCTCATATTCATTCCACATATTTATGACATTCAAGAATACCATTTATTTCACCAATTAAGTGGGTCCCTCATTTAGTGGTGGTAATTGACAGACCTGATTTCATTCTTAATAGTAGTTCATACATAATGGTTGTATTAAGATAAATCCATCTTTATTGAAAACAGAGGTCTGTGCTTACTACATCCTACAGTCTAGAAATCTAAAATATCGTACACATCTCTGTCACTTTTAGAATCAGTCGTGTTGTTGACAAAAAACATTCAAATTATTTCAATAAATTACAATACAGACATACATTTACACTCATATATGTGGATTAGAATAGCATAAATTGTAATTAATTTGTATTTTCAAAAACTTGTTGCTTCACTTCTTGTTTTAGCACAACAATGGAACTAAAATGCAGAAATCTACCTTTTACAAGAATATGTTTTTCTGCTGAACGTTGGATAATTTTGCGTTGGATGTGAGCGCATGGGCTGGTCGTGTGTGGATGTGCGGAGGCCCAGATGGTGCGCTCACAATGGCGGTGCGGGGCGGCCTTTGATGCCTCTGAGTGATTGATTTCAGGCTTGACTGGCTCTGATAGAGTCACCTCAGGAGGCGCTGGCATCCACCGGCCCGGCCCCGAAACAAGATGCAGCCGCAGAGAGGTCCAGTCCTCCCGGCCGCTCCCATATACACGCCACAATTGGATGGATTTTGTCACTAGATTCAGCCGTCGCATGAATTGGGCACTCAATATTTCCCAGCACGCTCAGTTCAGACGGACAGATTTGAGAAAACATGTCGTTTCTTTTATTCTTTGCTGATTTTGAAAGCATTTAACAGATTTTTTTCAACAATTATCACCATAAATAGAACAGAAATGGTCTTCATGATAAAATTCCAGTTTGATTCAACAACAATATAGAATTTCAGCCTGTCTGATTGTTGTAATCTGCCTGGCGAGAAGCTATTGAGCGATGTGCGTAAGTGAATATGGGGGGTGATAGTTTGGGGGCTGCTGTGCTGCAGATGTCTGCTCTGAGCCTGCATGCAAAATCTATCTTTTCAAAAGGAGACAGCGTCAAAAAAAGGGTTTTTGGGCGTAAATGATGCCAAAATTTGGTTGAATTCTGTGCTTCCATGATGTGGTGTCGTCATTAGAAAGTCATGGTTTTACTTCTTGCACCACATAAACAATAAAAATGCAAAAATGTACATACAGAAGTAGTTTCAAGACTTTTGGTAAACATCATCTCATTCTGTAACTATTTGATACAATCTATCTATAGATTCAAACTGTTTGGCTCTATCACAAGTTGTTGTTGGTCACATTATTTAGATCAGATTTTTCAAAACAGAGGACCACCCTCATTCAGCCAATCAGCTCTCAGCCTAGAGTGTCAAATAGCGGCTCTTTCTTACAAAAAATGACATGTTTTCTAACAAGAGGAGGATTGCATTTTACTTGCATAAGACTCATAAACTAGACTTCAGCTGGGACAAACAACATATTTATTCATGTTATTATTTTTTATATAAAAAGTAACCCAATCTTTAAGTACCACGTGGCCCTGTGTGTTTTTTTAATATTATTGTTTTATTTCTACTTTCATTTATCTATATAAAATTGGTATTTGGAGGATTGGGTGGCAGCTTTGATTGCAACCCCCCCCAACCCAGAAATGGACTAATACATGGGTTGAAAATGAACGAATGAATAATTGGTATATTTTTTATATTTACACAACATATAAAGCAGACAGACCTGTATGTTTATCTCTTTTACCTCTGTGCAGCACTTTGGAAGCTTAGATTAAAATGCGTGCTATCCTGTATGAATAAAGTGGATTGGCTAAGTCCTTCCTGGTTCCAGACTCTGTACCTCTTCAGCCACAACCGCACAGATCCTGCAGCAGCTTCCAACTCACATTGTTCACTCGTGCAACTGGCTTTTAGTGGATCATTACGAATGTTCTTAAGAGCAGCGTGCTTTGAAATCTGCTTAAATGTGCAATTATGTTTGTATTTCTAATCACAGCGGCTAATTGCTTTAACTAAATAAATCCCACTCGGATTGGCCACGGCGATAGCATTACCATGGTAATAATTACTACTGTGATGACATTGACATCAGGCAGGTAGCCGTTGGTTCATTTGAATAATTAACATCTCCGAGGCGCTGCTCTTTCTCCTCCAGCCGCTCTCATCTTCCACTCCTTTAATTGTGAGTTTATTAAAGCGACGGATTGATGAAGCCTCTGCATAATTCCGCTATTAGTTGCACGCATTCAAAGAGGCGCTCTCCAACGACACGCCTCACGTTTATTTAAGATTAAACTTTAATGCGGCTTGTTGCTTAAAATCAAGACGTTCGTTTAGCTGAGATTATCCTGGGGCCGTTTTTCCCCGAGTTCAGGATAAATCATTCGGTTTGTTTGGAGAATGCAGATGACGGAATTTTACAAAAACTGAATGCGATGGAGCTGAAATGTGTTGTGACTTTAAAGCTCGGGGACCCGACTTTCAAACCGCAACAAAATTACTATGTGTCAAAATCCATGAAAATAGTAATTGGTTCGAACAGTTTGGTTCTATCACTAAACGTTCTTGCACATTTTAGTTTGCATAAGACTACTCCGGTGTACACCAGAAGAAATACACAAGATCTCTTTCCACAGCGCCATATTTCCGGCGCCAAATGTCAGGAAAAATGTAGACGAACATATAGAAATGAACCCGAACAAGCAAAAACAACTCAATAATGTCACGTATATGAGAAGGTTAATTAGTTATTAAAAGTTTTTTGGTCAATCTCGCACAACACACGTCCCCTTTAATAAAAACATTCCTTCTCTCACAAACTTACAAAACGCTGTAAATATAGCACGTTTGAAAGCTAGCCTTGTGTCACGGAAGATCCAGGGCTCCAGGCGGTGGTGATCTCACATATATCTGCCGAGTGGAGCCAGAGGGGCGGGCAGCGAGGTGAGAGTGAGGCCAGGCCCAAGCTGCCCGCCTGGGGAGTTTGGCATGTGCCCTGCCTGGGCCTCCTGCGGACCGGGGTCACAGTAAATAAAGAAGAGAGCCCAGCACCAGCCCCTTTTTCCAGCCCGGTCCCTCCGAGCGCTAACAGGAATCAGGCTCTGACCGGTGAGCGTGCCCACTGGAGACATGCACACCTATGGAGGCCACATGCTAGGACCCTGTCTGCTGCACCGGCTCCCATCACTTCTCTGGGGACCTCTCTGTGTGTTTGTGCACATTCTTTCGCCTTGTCTGTGGAAACTAATACAAATCGTACACACTTCATTTGTCCTATGCAGTGGCAGGAAAGATCCCCTGGAAGTCCATCAAAAGCAGTTATAAACTCACAGTTGTGGTTCGTTCAAGAGATTTGTGAAAGTGTAATTGTACAGAAAAGTGTTCATGGATAGTTCTGTTTGAAAAATATAAATATGTCAATTTCAAGAGCTAGACATGAGTGGGCATGCGATCATTTCTTTTGATAACTCAGGTTGAAGCTAAAACCTCAAAGCTGGGGTAATCTTTCTTTATAAATAATACATGTTGTTTTTCCCAACAGAAATATTGTGTAAAATTAAAAAATACAAATAAAAGGCCAGACCACATCATGTTCAAGAATTTCAAGAATTTCTTTGCCATTTGCAGTAAAGCCACATATAAAAAACCACTTGTTAGAAAACGTTTTTTGTCTTTTGTATTCTCAAAGAGTCCTTCAATTCACTCTTTGACACTTTGGGCAGAGAGATGATTGGCTGAGAGAGGGTGGACCTCTTTTTGACTTGTCTGTTGAGAAAAAGTTGATTAAAGATGTACCAAAAATGCATACATGTGAAAACTAGTGATAGAAGCAACTGTTTTGTGAGCAACTCGTTACAGAAATGTTATTAATACAGTAGTTTGAAAGTGAGTTGCGCCAGCTTTAAGATTTTTGAGTACAATCTCTAACTTGTGTTTATAAAAATGCTTATGGTCTATCATGGAAACTGGATTCTATAGAATAAGAAAATACCCCATACCCCATATAACATGTATGCGTTGATCTGTTGAACCGTATTTGTCACATGTCTGCCACAAAAACAATTGCTGGATGTGGATATTTTGATATATTTTGTTTTTCCCATAAAAATCCAAACACATCTTGTGCAGCTCAGGGTGAAATCTCAAAGTTTACCTCGTGGCTGGAGTCTAATACATCGATGCAGTTGCGTGAAGACGAAGTGTGTTGCCAACATATTCCTGGACACACCTGTCAAAGCTAACCCAAAGCCGGCGCATGTTGGTGCTACTGTTCGAACGCCGTAATGAAATCCAGGTCCGGCCGTTTCATTGGCTTTGGGAAATACAGTATATAGAGGGAAAGAACAAAAAGAAAAAAGAAAAGTCCGACATAAAAAAGTAGCGGCGGGAAAAATGCTTTACACGTAATAAAACACAATAGGAAGCAATGGAGGTCGCTGTGCTCCTGGTGGGATACACAGGATTTACAGGGAGCGAGGGCTGAAAGGCCTTAGAAGCTTTGAAACATCGTGTCTTTTAATCTGCTCCACAGCAAAGGTTAAACCACACCTCGTTTCTCTCACAAGTTCAATAACAGACAACTTCCCAGGTTACAGCTAATTAGCAGAATCCGGAGATCCAGCCGTGATCCAGTGTCGGTCTGTCTCTGTCCGTTCACTTTTCAAACTCAATTCATCTAAGAACTTGAATTACTTCGAATAGATCGGATTGAGAGACTTCATTTCGATACTGTAAATGCAGTATCGCAAAGATGTCAATGTCAGCTTTATATGTATAGCACATTTACAGCAGGCCTGAAAGATATGAAAAGAAAACAGAAACAAATACATACAAATAGAAATACCTACAAGTAAAACGATAAAACTCAATTGGTGTTAAAAAGCCAAGTCGAACAAATGAGTCTTTAAACTTGTTCCACAGTTTGAGAAAAAAAGCAAAAACCTCAAGGAACAGTAAGGAAAGGAACCTCCTGGCGTCCGTTATTAGCCTTGTTAGATTAGGACACCAGGGACGTTTCTCGGAGCAGTTAGGAGACATGGCGCTACCCACAATGCATTCTGTCACTCACATCGCCCTCAAAACCAAGACCGACTGAATCTCTGACTGACTTTCGAAATATGAGCGAGAACAAAACACGTAAACTTTCGGTAAATGTTCGAAGACCTGTCGTTTTTTTCCAGGTTTCCGCGGTAACGCACAAAAGCTTGCCGCACAACAGTGACGTATGAGCGAGGACTAACCTAACCTGTTCCTATCACCTACAGTACCAGCTCCTTCAGCTTCACCTCAACAGAACGTCAACCATTAAGAGCAATAAGGACAAGGAAGGACTAGGAAGGACTAGGAAGGACTAGGAAGGACTAGGAAGGACTAGGAAGGACAAGGAAGGACTAGAAAGGACTAGGAAGGAGGTTCATCAGGGATTTCTGGATCTTGCTTTTTTCTACCTAAGATGTTGCTGCAGTACATTGTTCATGGTTTTGCACTGGTCCAGACCGGAGCGGAGGGGATTTATGGTCCGAACCAAGTGGGTCAGATGAAAACCCATTGGAACTTTTTGAAAAATTCTAATGAACCATTCAGCATTTTACTTTGGACTAGAGCAGAGAAAATGCTCCGAACCAAGCGGCTGCTCCACCTTGTGACCCGTCCTGCTCCACCCAGAGGCTACTCCACCTCTGCTGCTGTGACCTGAAGAACTGTTGCTAATTATTACTATTGTTAGCTTTTTTGAATGATCAATTTTATTTTTTATTTTTGCTGCTACTGGACACCTGAATCTTTCCGACGGGGATCATTAAAGTATCCATCTATCTATATATATATGTAGCCATAATTGATTAAAGTAAAACTAACAAATTATGTAACAGGATTGTGTATCATGATAGTTCAACATTAAGCCCATATCTCTCTTGTCGAAAGAAGGGAAAGATAATTGTTTGAACAGCCTATTTGCGGGAACGCTATTTTATACAAGACACAAACCTAAACTGAAATGGTGAAGTAAGAAAATTCAAAATAAATTACAAATCATTTATTAAAGACATAATTGCAAAACAGTTGTGACACATGTGGGACTTTTAAAACTCAGTGAACTCCTTCAGTGGAAGACTGAGACACCCTCAGTGTAGGAAGGAGCGCTACCGCAGGGCCTTTATCCCCACCGCTGTCAGACTGTACAATAAGTCACTTTAAATTATCACTGTGTGAAAACCTGCACTACTATTGACACTGTTTCCAATTGACACTTGTCACTTTTGTTGCACATAATTATTGTCACTTTATTGTACATACAGTATATATCCTGCATGTAACATGTTTGCACATTTCCTCCTTTTGCACAATCTGAGTGTCTCTATCCATGCCAAATGTGACATGTACATTTCTCCTCTGTGAGATAAATAAAGCACATCTTATCTTATCTTATAATGTTGAATTTCTGACTTCTGCAAGGCTACATTGATTTGCACCTGTCGCTATATGTTACAGCACTGCAAAAGTCTACAATTTTGTTTTTAAAAATTTGTAAGTTAGGTACCCCAGCTTTAACATGGATTTTGAACACGCTCCGTCTCTTCAAAGTCGACCCCACCTGCTCCCGACGATACGGAATGACCCTTTTGTGCAATCCGCTATAATCGAGCATAAACAAAACACCGACATAAACATGCACTTGGAGTTAATACAGGCGGACATGGACACCGCTCTCTCTCTCTCCTCCTCCCCCACCCCCTTCTCTCTCTCTCTCTCCCGCTGCAGGAATTCCCAGCCCTCTCCGCAGGTATCCGAGCAGCGCCGACCGGCCGAACATGTGTTTTCCTCCCCTGGTCAGGTCACAGCCGGGTCGCCCATTCATTCCCAGTGATGGTTGGAGCCATGCTTATCGCGCATTTCACTCTGACCACAAAGTAATGGAAAGATGGAGACCCCCCCCCAGCTCACCTCATCCCAGTCCAACTCAATCAGTGACAATTTTAAGAGCAGAATTGAATTTTTTTTTTTGTTTTTAAAGGAGACAACCGTTTTTTGAACTTTGCTCCGGCGCGTTATGAATTTTCCTCCAATGCTCAGAGGAACCCAAGAAAAATATTTTCAGGACAATGTACACAGGATGTTCATGTTTCAAAGCAAGTTTTGTATCATAACGACGAGAACCCCGCTGTTCCAACACGTTTGTTTTGTTGGCTCTGGAGAACATTCCCAGTGTTGATGCAAGGTGTTTGCACAACCCGAACGCTCTGTTGTTCCACAGTTAATCAAAGGACATCAAAACTTCCAATTTGTGCCAATTTGGCATCGATAAAGAAGGGATGAAGGCGTTATTGTGTGAGTGGTGAGGTGTAAGCAGGAACAGATGCGGCAGAAGGAAGAATGCTTCAAGGTACATAGCAGACTGTCTGGAGGATAAATCAGGCTGAATCTTCTATTGTAATCCCAGAAAACCTTTCAGCAAATTTCTGATATAGATATAATTCTAATTTATGATTTATACATTTCAAACTGAAATCGCTGCCACCAAATTTACAATGTTGGGTATTTTAGAGATACATGAGTCTGGTTGATTTAACTGGATGACATTGTATTTATATATTATTTATTAGCATTGTATGTATTGGTCCTACACACAACACACTCAAAACAAATGTTTCTGGGCAAAGGAGTAGATTTCTGCATCAAAATGTTCACATGAATTTGTTGACAGCCCAAAGCCTCAGTGAATATTTGCACGCTTTTACAAGTAAGAGATAATAATGCACTGTAAATGCCATATCATACATTTATATTCATCTTAATATGTTTTTTATTGAATGCGTTGTAGTATAGCTCTAAATCACAATAGCAGGTATCTTACAGTAGGGGGATTTACAAAGTTGATGATGACCAATGTCCATAAATGCCCTGGATCATCACTTTCTTTAGATCTTCCTGAATCGGCAGAGAATGACTCTATAAAAGCCTGTGGAAAAAGTGAGAAATCTCGGGAAGGCCCACATGTTTCAAAATATTTCCAGTTGGCAATTTATTTGGCTTTCAGAGAAACTTTATTGAAACATATTGCACTGGTATCAAAGTCGTTTCCATTTTACTGGACAGCATTGCGAACTGAGAAAATATGAAAATACTTTTTAATGTTATTAATTGGTGGACATATTTTACATATTTTTGCCAGCCAGTGACTCGTGCATACTGTGTTTGGGTCCTAAGCAATACACTTTACTTACCTTCACTTGATAACTCACAGCCTCACTTTTGCCAGTCCGCCCCAGGGCAGCTGTTAGAACTATATATTCACCACCAGTGCATTTTGTTAGTCCAACAGAAAGAGTCTTCTTAAAGTAAAGTATTGCACAAATATTAAACCACAACATGCTGTCTTCCTCTTATTAGAAAATATCTTTTATCTTTTGCAGACTGGAAGAAAGAGCCCTGTGTGTCACTGTTTGATGCTCTGGGTTGAAAGCTGATTGGCTGAGTGTGTGGCGTCCTCTTGTTTTCTGTCAGAAAATGCTATCTAAAGACGTGACAGAGGCCAACAATACAAGCGTGCGGAAACTGAAGACTTGTACTAAGACTGAAGAACAAAATAGATGGCTATTATTAGATACAGTAGTTCCATTCTTGTGGAGTTAAAGGTCTACAGGAGGATTTTCTACTTCCGGGTGGATCATCAAGAATATTGGTCTTCCGAATCGTCAATCATTCTGGTGATATGTACTCGTCAAAAAGTGAAGAAGGCGGTTCTTTTCTACAATTTTGGAAAATCCTCCTATATACCTTTAAGATTAAGATCCTTTATTTGTCTCACAGTAGGGAGCACAGGATAAGATAAATGAACACAGCTCTATACTAAATAACTCTGGATTACTCTCTACCTTTAGCATAATAAAGAAGCAGTCTATAACATATAATGAGAAGTTAAAACAATTAGGTACCCTCACTTTAATCCAATGCTTTACACTGTTTTACATCATGCAAAGGGAATGAACTCAATCATGAACCACTTCTAAAAACATTGAATTGTATAACTTTCATTTGGCTTTTTTAACACACATTACAGAGCCATGATTCCACTTCCACCACCAACCCCAAAACCTGCACCTGAAACACAGTCGACTCCTATAATGGCCCATTATTTGACCAAACAACAATAATATCACCGCCATCACACGCTGTACTCAAGGTTTATCAGGTGTGTTGTGGCGGCGGCGGCCATGACAGTGCACTAAGCAGCGGCCCCAGCAGGAAGCCTCCTCTTGGCCCCGTCACCAGCATGTGGCCCACGATGGCGCGACGGCAGATTAGGCTTTGTCTGCGCTCCTCTTCCCGCCTCGACACAACAGCAGCAGCCGCACCGACCTGTCCGCCGCGCCGTAGCACACATCGCTCCCATTTTTTTCCTATTACCGTAAGCATAGAGGACAAAATAGGACTTAGTAATAGAGAGAAAAAAATGCCCTCACCAGCTCTCGTGTATAAGCTTTAACTCCGAAAAAAGCTGGAAGCACTCACCAAATCGGTTCGCCAAGTCCCATCGGGGAAAGTCATTTACCTTTTGCGGATTTTGGGACGTCTTGTGAGTGGCTGGATGAAATGCGGTGTAATGGGAGGAGAGGTGGTCTGGCTTTAGGGGTACTCCGTGTATCTGGACTCACACTGGGAAAAGTGTATTTATCAACTTAATAGCAGGTGTCTGATTGAACATGACTATGATTACAGTAAGCCGCCCCGGCTTTGGGGGCGTCGCGGCAATGGTTCTTCCTCATCTCCTCTTCCTCATCTCTCAACAGTGTAAAACCTCAGAGATAATACCCCAACGTTTCTTGGCACAGGTTCAGAGTTGGATGGATTTGATTTTTACATCAAAATGATCATGTTTAGTGGATTTTTTGACAGCCTCAAGCCTTGGTGAATATCAGAGTATGCATGATTTTAAAGTGAATAATAAAATAATGTGTGGTACTGTAAATGGCACATCAAACATTTATATTATACCTTATATGGATGGGTTTTTCAAGGTACTTCAATCCAATTCCTAATTCATTTTGTTTTGAATAGTTCCAAACCTGACAATCCAAGTTAAATATCCAATTTTTATTCCTGTACGTTTAACCCTGTTTTATTTATGTACTTGTCTTATTTATAACTTGGAGACTTTTACAAATTCCAATGTGGTTTCACTGCAATTAGCAAATAAAATGAATCTGAATCTAAATCTGAAATAAATCACACAACACAACATAATAAACAGGCCTCCCAGTTTCATATCAACTAATTTATATGTAATACTGTTGCTGTATTCTCTTTTGTTCAAGACAGTGGATTCTTTGCTGTTGGTCATGAACTAGATGGAGTAAAAGGGTTAATAGAAAAAATATATAATTGATGAAAAGTAAGTGATACCTATCCTGGGAATCCTCATGCTACTGTGTGTGCTTGAACAATTTCATAATGTATGGAAACCCTGGCTGAAATATTGACACAGATTTGGGAACCAGGGGACACAGAACGGAGAGGGATGGCAAGACGATGACGCAGTATTGAACAGACGGAAGCTTGTAGTTTGTTTACGGACGCACAAGTGAAGCCATCATCCCTCATGTTCCACAAACGGCCGTAATCGTTCAGCAGTATTGGGAGAAGTAATCTCCCTAACCCTTCTTATTTTTCACTTCTCTTCTCGTTGACTTTCTGTCGCGTGACAATAGTTGAATTGACACGATTTCTGCAAACATGGAGATGCATGATCAACATTCGTGGTGTCCAATAAACGGCTATGGACACACTTAAACTACACCTCTCACAAGATACTAAGTTAGTGATAGGTAGTCCTGTGTTTGCTTACGTCAATCTCAGATGCTTTCATAATTGCCAACAGATTACACTAAATAGAATACAACAAGATCCACAACCGAAAGCAGAATATTCTTGTGAGGACTCCAGTAAAATAGATAAATAAATATTTTAATCTTGAAATAGATACATGAATAAATACATAATTAACTACAATATATACAATATGAAGTTACTAACAATAATAATAAAGTACCCATGTCTAACTCAGATTAGACAGATCTTTTACTGTGCAGGAGGAACAAAGGATCTCTTGATAACTTAAAACATAGTATGCCTAATTTCCGCTGAAACAAAAGTCAAAATAAAGTTTGTAAAAAAGCCTGAGTATTAAAAAGCATCCTTCAGTTCAAGAGCTGGGCTGAACAAACAACCAGGAGAGGCAGAGCGATGTGCCGAGGCTGGGGCCGTTTAGCTGATAAGGCAGGGTAGGCCCTTCAGGTGTCTCCTGCTCCACTGCTGTGTAAATGAGCTCCAATTAAACAGGCGGCCCCTAGCTCCTCATGCACACCTCCCTCCTCACCCGCCCCCCTACTCACCGCCGGGCCCCCGCACACCCTCTGGCTCCTGCATCTGCTCGCTCACTCGCTTCTTCTACTCAGTGTCTCGCTCATACTGTGTGACCCAAAGGCCTGCTCCACTCAAACGTGTGTGTGTTGTGTATGTGTGTGTCTGTGTGTGTTGTGTGTGTGTGTGTGTGTGTCTATAAGGATTTGGGAGCCCCGCAGCACTTCAGCTTATTGTCAACCCCTGATAAGTGACAGCGTGGTGGAAATGCTCGCGTCTCAGTGTCGGGCTGATTTGTGTATATAGCTGTAATTGGCCCGATTGCTCGAAAGTTCTCATTCAATTTTAAGTGATTTAAAAAACTAAATAAAAATAAAATCTATGGCATTGTTCTTTACCAGGACACATGCACAAATGATTGCCCACTATATAAGCCTAATAGGAAAGCGCTCTTGAATCAATTTTGGCTCGAAATGATCCTGGTGTTTTTTATTTAGATATTTTTTTCTGTATTTTTTAAATATGAAGCGCTTTGTGATCTTGGTCTATGAAAAGCGCTGTACAAATAAACTTTACTTACTTAGATTATCCTAATCTAGATATTTGCCCTAAGGTTTGAGGTGCCTTGAGTCCCAGAATTCTGCTTGGACTAGAGTGAGCGAGAACTGACCAGTGTCCCTCTTGATTGGATCTTTGATAGCTTGGTCTCACAGCAAGAAGGTCCAGGGTTCGATTCCACCACTAGGTCTTTCTGTGTGTCTGCGTAGGTTTTCTCCGGGTGCTCCGGTTTCCCCTATGACCGCACCTCCTGTATGGTGACCCCGCTCCCATCTCTCTGTGGAGTGACAAACGCCCACAAACGCTTTGTGGCTCTGGTCTGTGAATGGCGCGAAATAAAAACAGATTACTTACTTTTTTGTCCACTGTCCACGAGAGGTGGACAATGGTTATCTTTTATGTTATTTCAAATGATAAACACATGAAACCCCAAAGTAAAGGCCTTAAAGATGTTGAGCCCCAAACATGGTACAAATACACTTTATACAATACACTGATTGTATAAACTTTTCAGTGGAAGCTCGGACCAAACACAACATTTACAGTTTGCAAACATTGTGCAGTTCCTCCGAAGCCCTTTGCCACTCAGCGACAGGGGGCAGAGAGCAGCGGGGGACGGCCCAATTACATGAGGCTGTGATTTAGGCGCTGGGACTGCATGGGGCAGCTGCATCTGGCAACCCACCAGCCGTCCAGACACTGGTCCTGAGACTGGTCCTGAGACTGGTCCAGGAAGGAGACACCAGCTCCTTCCTAATGACCGCAGTCAGAGGGAGATGTCTGCTGCGTATATACTGTACATATGTTTCAATACAGAGACGTCCAGAACCACTGCACCGTCAGCATGTTTCACCTGGTCTCGACTTAAAGCTGGGGTATCTAACTTTCAAACAAAATACTGAATTGATAAAATCCATCTGATAGTTTCTTCAAATCAGCGTTCACATGCATGTCTGTTTTTGGTCCCCGTCACATCTTTAAATCAGCTTTTTCAGACTGAAAAGTGAAAGTGGTGCAAACCCACTGTCTCCACGCCGCGGCTTCAAGACCCGCCAAAAAACAGTTTGTCAAATCCTGGTCCTCATTAGGCCAAAGTTACGACGTGTGCGAGTGCAGACAGCCCCTGTGTCGAGGACAACACCTTTATCGCTCCAAACATCACTTTGTGTGTGTTTTTCCTTCTCTGAGAGGGGACACTGCTCCACACATGTAGAGGACAGGAATACACTGATATTATATTGATACAGATATTCACGACTGTAGAGGCCTGAGGTGGTCTGTGTGGTTATGCAGTCAGCTGTTTTTGAACACAAGCTAACTGGAGCTAAATTACTTATGGGGCTTGTTTCAACAAAGGGGAAGATGTAAAATAACCTGTTGCTAACATGGTTGCTAAGGCCAGCTGGAAGTCAAATAACTGGTCAATCGTCATGACTTATTTGTGGATATACAAAAGACAATATAAAAAAAAAACCAACAACAGTACCATAGAATGCACTAAATGACTCAAAATTACGAGCATCTTTGAGCGTCCAAAAAAAAATATTATTATTATCATCCAACTGTTTTTTATACAGTCTATGCTTTTCACACACCGCCTCCACATGCTGCTGTTGGCCTGTGATGTCACCTGTACACGACTTTAACATTTCGAGGGGAACTATTGTTTACCTGTATGGTCCGAATGACAGTCTCTCGCCCCGGCCTCGCTCCACACCACTCCAGCACAATTAGCACCACTCTCACCGTGGCGTGCAGGCTCCTGTCAGCGGCGTCGTGCATAATACATACGTGACATTCTGCTAACTCCGCTGCCACATGTAACCAGTCGCACCGTAAAAGGCGGTTGTCGCGCTCCCCCGCCAATCAAAATGCTAGATATTTATAATTAATGGCAGTGATTAAGATACTTTTAAACCCGCAAATGGTATATTTAAATAATAAGTCACATGTAATTAAGCAAGGGCGAAATATTCTTCCCTGTCGTTAGGGCAATTATTACAATTTCCATCAAGGGATTTCTCAGCTTGACTTTTGTTCTTGAGATGTGGTGATTAACATTGCGATTAATTGGAGTCATTTCTTGAAAACTTGTGTAATTTCTACATATTATGAACAAAATAAAAGGAAAAAAATCCACTGGACACTATAGACGCAGCGGGGATTGTCCGTAAAAAAGGCGCTTGGAGGTTAGAGAGAGATTTCCATGATGGCTGCTCTCGTCCACCATACTGAGCTAAATAGCCTGTTTTTCTTCTAATTACCTTTTAACATATGTGTAATTACCTTAATAGCTGGACAGTAGGAATAAATGAACTCATCAACCATGGCCTATAAGGTTTTCATGTATATTTCTCGGCTGAAAAAGTCCACAAACTTTGAACTTTTCTCACTCGGTGGAAGCACAATCCAAAAAATCCGTCCCAATTATTCCATTATTTCCATATTATAATTATTTGAGCTAATTGCACGCCACAGTCTTTTGCATAATGATGATGAATAATTCCACTCACCTGTTACCTCCACGTTCAGCCACAGGGAGATCTTTTATAAACAAGTCTTACTCCAGACTCATTAGATCTTGGGATGCGACTCCTGAATGACATGTTTGTGGCTATTTCTGTTCATCAATCAGAGACGGCAGAGACACACACAGAGTAAACGCAAATGGAATCCTGGTATGACGTCCCGGTGCAGGCCTTACCCCGCACTGCAATATTATTTTTGTTCAGGTTTTTATTTTATTGAATCAGTAGAAGAATGCATTGGTATTCATTTTATTTGTATTAATCTACTATTTATACATATACCCTTAGGCAGCGGTCTTATTACCCCTTCACTGCCTTTTTGTGATGCACTGTATTACACGGTTCCTTGTGAAATATGCTAAATAAATATTAATAAATGCAAAATCGGACTTATTTTTCTTCTTTTTAGTATTGATCTATTCCGGAAATGTGATGATATATACATTTTTAAGTATACGCTATATTAACATTGAGCGGTTTGCACTGGTTAGCACTTAGCAAGAAGGACCACGGTTCAAATCCCGGAGAGAACGAAGCCTTTATAAGCAGAGTTTGCATGTTCTCTCCGTTTCTGTGGAGGCTTCCCCATAAACACGAACAGTATAGGTAAAATCTTCCGGCTCGAATAGTCCTGAACAATTTGACCAATCTTGCCCACAACAATTCTAAAGTGCTTTGTGAATCTGGTCTGTTAAAGGCGCTAAAGATTACTTACTTACTTCCCAACATCTGGACCTGACAGAAGCCCAGGTGGCATCGCAGAATAGGTCACATTCAGAGGACACACACATTTTCTGTGAGGACAAGTAACTACATTTTTGGCTGAGACTGGAAGATTTCCTTCAAACTTCCCTCCATTCGACTGGAGATTACAGGAGAACAAAACTTGCTAGAAACCAACACATTTTTGCTGATGAAAGTAGACAATCCAGTCTTTCAGAATCTGGTTTCATATTTTATATAGTCGAAGCACACAATATTATGTGGGTCTTGAAAGTGTGTGAAATCATCAAGAACGGCTGCCAGTCAGTGAGTGAACTTCAACTGCATTACATTTTGAAAATAATACACATTTTTGACCGTATGACTCTGTAGTATCAGTCCTGCAATTTTCATGGTATGTATATTTTGAACAGTTTCTCCCATTGAAAAAATAAAGATACCAGAAAATATCCCTCCATATTCACCATTTGAAAAGTAACCTGACAAAGAGAGGACCAGCCCTCACTCAGCCAATCAGCTCTCAGTACGTGAAAGCTGACATGTTATTTAAACTATTTCACTTTTTAAACAAAAATACATTTATAAAAGACAAACCAATATACGTACACCAGCTTTAATCGCCATGTATGAGGAAAATATGGCTTCAAACAGCTTCAAACTCACAACTTTTGCCTCCAATTACAGCCATAAAGACGAGAGCGTTCACAATTACTCTCCCTCTTTCGCGCTCTTGTACTTTTCATGTAAATACTCCACTGGATGCGCACTCCAGTCTCGACAGGGGGACAGGGCTCCTCTCGTATAATTGCTTTTGACTTTTAAGTAAGCACAAGATCGACAGTAGGACCCTCTAATCAAGACCCAAGTGTTCTGATAGCGCCCCCTGTGGTGAAGCAGTGTAAGCGATACTACTGGACCACGGCTAGGCTCCGTACTCCCGACTGTTATTACAGAGGCAAGCAAGGTCAGATGATACGCGGCAAGCATTTTCCACATTACAACTTTTTTTTGTGTTTTTTTGCGATTGGTCTTTCTGCCTGGCGTATTGACCTTGGCGTTTTTGACAGTAGCATCCATCATAAAACGTGAAACCTTTCCAACAGGCAGCGCGGCGCGGCCAACTGAATCAGATTAAAAGAATAAGAGCAGAGGATGGATGCCGGACGTCAACGTTGCGGAGGGATCAGCCGGATTTATCCAAATGTATTTTACCTCAACTCAGCTGTAATGAGCCACAATGCTTTTCTGACAGTGTTGACGAATGGGAGAAGGATTACGCCCGGTTTGAGATAGAGAGAAAGTCGGTGGAAAGTCGGCTAAAGGGAGCTACAAGGTGTAATTAATCACAGTCAGTTCTGCAAATGTTTATTTAAACAGGTTTGAGCACAGAAAGGGAGATGGGAAGCGTCTGGGGAGGGGGGAGTTTTGGTTCGGCTTGATGAACGAGTGTGTATTTGTGGATGTGTTGTGACAAAACAGTGGCTTATATATTCATCGGTAAAGCTGTTAGTGCACAACAAATATGAAATGTTCTTTGCAAATGGTTTCATAGTTTCATCGTTTGAAAAGCTCGACATTAGTTAAAACTGGGGTACATTACTTTTAATTCATGATTTTTTTATTTTTTTTTGTTCCAACCTAAAAGAGAAACAAATGAATAGTTCATTCGTTAAAAACATTTTAACAACATAAGAATATTTGAAAGGGTTTTACTTTGATCTTTACCAAGTATTTTTGAAAAGCAAGATGTTTTAGTGCCATACAATTAAAGTGTCACTCCTTCTTGAGCCAATTCTTTCAAATGAAATGCCAATAATAAAACATGTCAAAAATGATAACCAGAGAAATACAACTTCCAAAATGGAGTTGATTGTTTTCTCAACCTTTCAGACTTAAAACATGTTATCTTTTTTATACTTTTTATACTGTGAGTCACTGCTTAACACTTTGGGCTGAGAGCTGATTGGCCGAGTGAGCGTGGTCCTCTCTCGTTCACTTTTCTGTCTGAAAATTCTGATCTTTAGACGAGACAGAGGCCAAAACTTCATGTGTATCCATATATTTTTTTTTTTTATTGTTTTAAAAGAGATTAGGTTTTAAAACAATAATTACTATAGATATTTTAACCTAAAACGTATTGCATTCAAACAGATCAGTGATGTTTAGACCGTTTACAGTACATAACTCTAAACAATCACAGAGATAAAACATGTCGTTTTCAGAAGCTCATCCTGTCGGGCTTTTGTATCAGTATTTTCACAGATGGAGTGGTGCTGGTGAGGAGTAACTGCACTTTTATAGACTTTCCGTCACGTCTCTGGAGAGTGTCCCATCCAGAGCGTCCCATCCAGGGCGTCCCTGTTACGAGTCGGACAAAGAACCCAAGTGCAGAGGTAACAAAAAGTTTAATTAACAAAAATAGGTAGACTCAAAACACAGGAGAGCCGGGAATGGGGCTGGGACCAGGCGGGGCAGGGCTGGGTGCAGAGCTGGGGTCAGGCGGTGCTGGGCTGGGGTCAGGCGGTGCGGAACGGAGGTCTGAGGCAGAGCAAAACAAAGGTGAGACAAAAGTAACGAGAGCGATAAACAAGCAGGCCTACTAACGCACAGTAACACTGATTACGAACTGGCACCGATGAGCTGGCTTCTGGAGCTCTTGTAGTAGCTTGATTGGAGCCAGGAGGCAGCTGGGCCTGATCAGCCTCTCCCATCCACCTGCTCTGGGAGGCGGCTCCAGGAGAAGCAGGGGAGGGAGGGGCTGCTGGAGGAGCAGCCCTGACAGTACCCCTCCCCCTACTGACGCCCCCAGGCGGACACACACGCCTCCCCGGTCGACGAGCGTAGAAGTCCCGTATGAGGGACGGGTCCAGGATGTTGCCACGGGAGACCCAGCATCGCTCCTCGGGGCCGTAACCTTCCCAGTCCACCAGGAACTGGCAGCCACGACCACGCTGTCGAACATCCACGATCCGCCGAACGGTAAAGGCAGGATGGCCGTCCACCAACCGAGGCGGGGGTGGGGCTGGACGGGGGGGAACCAATGGACTAGACTGGACAGGCTTAACACGGGACACATGAAACGTGGGGTGAATCTTCAAGGAAGAGGGAAGCTTGAGACGTACCGCGGAGGGGTTGACGACCTGTTCCACCTCAAAGGGCCCGATAAAGCGGGGCGACAGCTTCGCAGATTCCACCTTGAGGGGAATGTCTCTCGTGGACAGCCACACCTTCTGTCCAGGCAAATAGGCAGGAGCCGGGATGCGGCGGCGATTAGCCTGTACTTGCGTCCGAGCAGAGGCGCGCAGCAAGGCAGAGCGGGCCTTCTTCCAAGTCTTTTGACATCTGCGAAGGTTATCCTGGACCGAGGGCACTGCCAACTCAGCCTCTTGGTCAGGAAACAGGGGCGGTTGATAGCCATAACAACATTCAAAAGGGGACATACCTAAAGAAGCGCTCGGGAGTGTGTTATGGACATATTCCACCCAGGGAAGGTGAGAACTCCAGCTGGACGGATTAGAGGAGGACACACAACGTAGAGCCACCTCCATCTGCTGGTTAGCCCGCTCCGTCTGGCCATTAGTCTGGGGGTGATAGCCAGAGGAAAGGCTCACGTTAATATTCAGGGCAGAACAGAAGGCCTTCCAAACCTGAGCCGTGAACTGGGGGCCTCTGTCAGACACGATGTCGGCAGGAATGCCATGCAGCCGGAAGACGTGGTTCACCAACAGGTCTGCAGTCTCCTTAGCAGAAGGAAGTTTAGGAAGGGGTACAAAGTGAGCAGCCTTTGAGAACCGGTCCACAACTGTCAGCACCACGGAATTACCATTAGAAGGCGGGAGGCCGGTAACAAAATCCAGCGCTATGTGAGACCAAGGGCGATTGGGGATGGGTAGAGGACGCAGCAACCCAGATGGGGGCTGGTTAGAACATTTATTCTGGGAGCACACGTTGCATGCAGCAATGAAGTCCTTAGTATCCCTCTCCATAGTAGGCCACCAGAACTTGCGCCTGAGCACAGCGAGGGTACGACTAACCCCAGGGTGGCATGTAAGGTGGGTGCAGTGTGCCCATTGAATAACTTCTGAACGAACGGGGTCAGGAACAAACAAGGAACTCGGGGGTCCCGTCCCCGGATCCGGGTGGGTCAGTTGCGCATGACGCACTCGTGACTCTATCTCCCATGTAACGGTAGCCACTATACGGGACAAAGGCAGAATAGTGTCATTCTCAGGAGCAGGATGTGCACCGCAATAAACTCTGGACAAGGCATCTGGTTTCAAGTTCTTGGAGCCAGGGCGATAAGTGACAGAGAAGTTGAAACGGTCGAAAAAAAGGGCCCACCTGGCTTGCCTTGAGTTGAGACGCTTGGCTGTCTGGATATACGTGAGGTTCTTGTGATCCGACCAGACCACAAAGGGGTGAGTAGCCCCCTCCAGCCAGTGACGCCACTCCTCTAGGGCCAGCTTGATTGCCAGGAGCTCTCTGTTACCGATGTCGTAGTTTCTCTCTGCAGAAGACAGTTTACGAGAGAAAAAAGCACATGGATGCAATTTCTGATCAGTGGGTGACCTTTGCGAGAGTATAGCCCCCACTCCTGTGTCAGAGGCGTCCACCTCTACTACAAACTGGAGTTCAGGATTGGGCTGAATAAGCACAGGGGCAGAGGTGAACCGGTCCCTAAGTCGCTTAAAAGCCAAGTCAGCCTCAGGAGTCCATGCGAAATTGGAAGAAGTGGAGGTAAGTGCAGTCAGGGGGGCCGCAATGTGGCTGAAATTGCGGATGAATCTCCTATAGAAATTAGCAAACCCCAAAAAACGCTGTACCTCCCTGCGACTGGTGGGGATAGGCCAATCACGGACAGCAGACAGCTTTTCAGGATCCATCTGCACCTGGCCCCGGGCAATAATGTATCCTAAGAATGAGACAGAAGGTTCATGAAACTGACATTTCTCTGCCTTAACAAATAACTTGTTCTCCAGGAGTCTTTGGAGGACACTGCGGACATGGCGCCTGTGAGTCTCGATATCTCTAGAAAAAATCAAGATGTCGTCAATGTAAACAAAAACATATCTCCCAATCATGTCACGTAGGACGTCATTTACCAGGTTTTGAAACACGGATGGGGCGTTAGTGAGACCAAACGGCATGACCAGGTATTCAAAATGGCCCAGGGGAGTATTAAAGGCAGTCTTCCACTCATCCCCCTCCCTGATGCGCACCAGGTGATAGGCATTGCGCAAGTCCAATTTAGTGAAAATAGTAGATCCACAGAGAGGGGTGAAGGCTGAACTAATCAAAGGGAGTGGGTACTTGTTCTTAACAGTGATTTTATTGAGGCCCCGGTAATCAATGCAGGGCCTAAGAGACTTATCCTTTTTCTCAACAAAAAAAAATCCAGCACCCACCGGAGAGGACGAGGGCCTGATTATTCCCACTGCCAGGGATTCCTGAATGTACCTCTCCATAGACTCGTTCTCCGGGCGCGAGAGGTTGTACAGGCGGCTGCTCGGTAGAGGCGCCCCAGGAAGCAGGTCTATGGCGCAATCATAAGGCCGGTGAGGGGGGAGAGAAAGAGCCCGATCCTTGCTAAATACAGCACCAAGGTCGTGATACTCAGAGGGCACTACCGACAGATCCGGAGGGTCTGGGGGCGGGGTGGATCGAAAACAAACTGGGGTCAGGGCCGACTGCAAGCAATAAGAATGACAGAATGGGCTCCATGAAATGATACTCTTAGCTGACCAGTCAACATGAGGATTGTGCAACCTTAACCATGGCAACCCCAAAACAAGAGGAGAGTGAGTACAATCAAAAACATGGAAGGAAATAGTCTCCTTGTGGTTACCTGAGAGATGAAGGAGGATTGGGAGAGTCTTCCTCGTGACTCTGGCGAGTAACTGCCCATTCAATGCCTTAGCCTCCAAAGGGGTGTCCAGAACTTCGGTCCCAATTCCCAGCTGGTGAACGACCTCACTGTCCAAAAAGCTCTCATCTGCCCCAGAGTCAATGAGCACAGGAAGCGTTAGGGTTTGATCAGAAAAAACAAGGGTGCCCTCAAAACTGGCTCTTAAGGGAGAGGTGCCACTAATTTGGCTCAACAGTACGTCTCCCACTACTGTTGAGCCCAACCTTTTGGCCGTGCAGGACAAGATGCGATAAAGTGCCCAATCTGACCGCAATAGAGACAGCTCCGGGAGTTAATGCGGCGTTCTCTCTCCTCTGCACTGACGAGGGCTCGGCCAAGCTGCATGGGCTCTGGTCCCGGCGTGGCTGGAGGTGGAACAGGCGGTGTCGCTGGAAAAACAACTTGTGGAGAGTTGTAAGCATTCACATATTTCGTCCTACCCGCTCTCTCACGTCGCCGCTCCCTGAGCCGGTTGTCCACACGAATGGTCAAATCAATTAAATCATTTAGGCTACCAGGAACGTCACGGGAAGCTAGCTCGTCCTTGAGATTCTCCGACAGAGAATTAAGAAATGCTCCCAGAAGCGCCTCATCATTCCACCCCGATTCAGCTGCGAGTGTGCGAAATTCAATGGCCAACTCAGCTACACTGCGGTTCTCTTGACGCAGGGAAAATAGTCTCTTAGCCGCCTCCTTGCCACTAACAGGATGGTCAAAAATCTGCCTCATAGCAGCAGTAAAATCGTAATAGGAATCACAAATTGGATCCTGTCTCTCCCAAACTGCGGAGGCCCAATTAAGAGCATGGCCTCGAAGGCACCCAATTAAGTATGAAATCCTGGCTCGATCATTAGCATAACTTAGCGGTTGTTGCTCAAAAATAAGGGAACACTGGGTCAAAAAAGACTTACATGACCCCAGGTCGCCGTGGTACGGTGCCGGTGGAGGAACAAAAACATCTCTGGTAGGAGGAGGCAGGACTAGCGATGGGGCAGCAGAAGGAGCAGAAATATTATCAGTGGCCGTTGTGTTGATTACTTGAGTCCTCAGGCTTGCCAGGCTGATAGAAAACTCCTTCATGTGTTCCATGAGGGCCTTGAGCGTATTGTCATGTTGCTCCAACAGAGACATCTGGGCAGAAAGGGTCTGGTTGATGTGGTCTGCTGGGTTCATTCTTTGGCCAGTTCGTACTGTTACGAGTCGGACAAAGAACCCAAGTGCAGAGGTAACAAAAAGTTTAATTAACAAAAATAGGTAGACTCAAAACACAGGAGAGCCGGGAATGGGGCTGGGACCAGGCGGGGCAGGGCTGGGTGCAGAGCTGGGGTCAGGCGGTGCTGGGCTGGGGTCAGGCGGTGCGGAACGGAGGTCTGAGGCAGAGCAAAACAAAGGTGAGACAAAAGTAACGAGAGCGATAAACAAGCAGGCCTACTAACGCACAGTAACACTGATTACGAACTGGCACCGATGAGCTGGCTTCTGGAGCTCTTGTAGTAGCTTGATTGGAGCCAGGAGGCAGCTGGGCCTGATCAGCCTCTCCCATCCACCTGCTCTGGGAGGCGGCTCCAGGAGAAGCAGGGGAGGGAGGGGCTGCTGGAGGAGCAGCCCTGACAGTCCCATCCAGAGCGTCCCATCCAGGGCGTCCCATCCAGAGCGTCCCATCCAGGGCGTCCCATCCAGAGCGTCCCATCCAGGGCGTCCCATCCAGAGCGTCCCATCCAGGGCGTCCCATCCAGAGCGTCCCATCCAGAACGTCCCATCCAGAGCGTCCCATCCAGAGCGTCCCATCCAGAGCGTCCCATCCAGGGCGTCTCTTCCAGGGCGTCCCATCCAGAACGTCCCATCCAGAGCGTCCCATCCAGAGCGTCCCATCCAGAGCGTCCCATCCAGGGCGTCTCTTCCAGGGCGTCTCAACCAGGGCGTCTCATCCAGAGCGTCCCATCCAGAGCGTCCCATCCAGAGCGTCCCATCCAGAGCGTCTCATCCAGAGCGTCTCATCCAGAGCGTCCCATCCAGAGCGTCCCATCCAGGGCGTCTCATCCAGAGCGTCCCATCCAGGGCGTCCCATCCAGGGCGTCCCATCCAGGGCGTCCTATCCAGAGCGTCCCATCCAGGGCGTCCCATCCAGGGCGTCCCATCCAGGGCGTCTCATCCAGGGCGTCTCATCCAGGGCGTCTCATCCAGAGCGTCCCATCCAGGGCGTCCCATCCAGAGCGTCCCATCCAGGGCGTCTCATCCAGGGAGTCTCATCCAGGGCGTCCCATCCAGGGCGTCCTATCCAGAGCGTCCCATCCAGGGCGTCCCATCTAGGGCGTCCCATCCAGAGCGTCCCATCCAGGGCGTCCCATCCAGAGCGTCCCATCCAGGGCGTCCCATCCAGAGCGTCCCATCCAGGCCTAATGAAACAGACATTTACAGTAAAGACAAACATCACAGATTCTGATTTACATTTCCTTCGGAGCTTTTGAGGTTTTTTTTCTGCGACACTTTGATGATCACAATTACAGTCTATTCGCGTTTTGTTCCCTGATTCCCACGGAGAGAAAACAGCCACACTTTGTATACGCTGATTTGTACTTTTTTTTACTTTTTGGGGTTTGTAGAAATGGTTCTTTACTGATCTTTTGTGAATGGCATGTTTTTTATTTGTATTTGTAACTAAGTACACTTTCATTTACAGGTTAGTCAGGTCAAGAAGAAGTCAATCTGTATTTCTGTAGTTTTTGTAGTGTGTCTTACATTTGGAATTGTTGATACTTGTGAAAATAATCTCAGTGCTTCTTCATTTCCATATCTATATATTTTCTTATTTTCTTAACTTGTTTTGAATGTGGTCTTTTTCCGATGTTTCATCATGTGACAAACCACAGGCTACAGTGTAAGTATAATGCAGACGTGTGGAAAAACACATCACCCCCAGGTTTGTGTGTCTGTGTGTGCGTGTGTGTGTGCGTGTGTGTATGTGCATGCATGTGTGCCATGTGTGTGTGCATGTGTGTGTACGAGTGTGTGCATGTGTGTGTGTACGAGTGTGTGCGCCTCTGTGTGTATGCATGTGTTTGTGTAGGCGTGTGTGTCTGTGGGAATTTGTGTGTGCGTGTGTGTGTGCATTGGTGTGTTTTTGTGTGAGTGTATGCATGTCTGTGCGTTTCTGCAGGTTTGTGTGTGTGTTTGTGCATGTGTGCCTGTGTGCCTGTGCTTGTGCGTGTGTGTGTGTGTGCGCGTGTGTGTGCGTATGTGTGAGACTCGGCCGGGAGCCTCCACTCGCTGACCCCTGACTGTCTGCACTGTACGCCAGGCAGAGATAGGAGCTCGCAGAACAGAGAGGTGCATTGTGGGAGCTGCAGAGGCCCGGTCCAGCCTCATGAACTGCCCTGACCCAGCACCACCTCTGCCCCGGGAGCTGACTCTGACACAGGCCCTGGTGGTGGGGGAGGGAGGGGGAGGCAGGGGGAGGGAGGAGAGTGTCCGGTCCACGTGGTCATCTATCATCAGGGCACGTACAGCAGCACACACTTCTGCAGAGACCCACAACAACTATGAAACGCACACTCTTTTGTCTATCTTGTTTTGTTAAGCACTTTGAGACGCCTTGTGTAGGAACTGCCTTGACTTGCCTCACAATGCCGCACACCTCTTCTAGAACTCTGAAACCCACCAAGAGCAGCCACACACTCGGAAAAGTATCTAAAATAGAAATAAACAGTAATATATATGTTTTTTTTTACACATCACATACATATACACGTCAATAATAATAATATAATGTGCGGTAGAACATTATAGTGTAGAGTGACTGATGTGTTTTTGTTTTAAGAAAAGAACAGAAACATCGATGGAACTGTTTTAACTTGAAAAACGCACCTGTGGTTTTTACACACTCTTGAAAAATGTATGTATTTTGTTTTGGGTATTGTAATTGTAATGTAAGTAGTTTTTTTTTATTTTAGTGCCAAATAAGTTTTACCCCTTTTTGAGCAAATTCTTAAAAATTTACTGCGGATAACAAAACATGAATTAAACTTTTGGACAAATTTTGAAAACGGAGAAATTTGTTTTTTAAATAAACTCTTAACATTTCAATATATTGCAATTTTCAAGTCTGTTATTGTTGCAGCATTGTTGAAATACTAAACATATCACAACATAAAAGTCAATGTTAGTGCAACGTTGTTTGTTTACCGCAAAATTAAATCCGTGCTAAAACATCTTCAGCCTCTAATAAATCACAACCTTTTCCAGAGCAAAGTGCAAACAAGCTGGGTCCAATATTTCATCCTTTCAAATGAAAATATGTAACATTTGTCCCAAAGCCGATCCACTAATAGAAAATAAAGCCATCTTTCATATTTATACCCGTCCCAGCGTGCGGCCGCTCCTACAATCAGGTTTGATGGTGCAGCCAGCGGGACGTGTGTCCAGGGGGAGAGGGGAGACCAGGTGCAGCCAGTGGCCCATTTTCAACCTTACACACAGACAGTATCTGCAAATACTGGCTCCAAACTCTAAACTATACTGCCCTTTTTTCTGCACTGTTCCATTTCACACGGCGTCTGCACTGACAAAACATGGACGACTCAATCTAAAATGGGTCCTCTGACTTTTGGGGGGGAAGGAGCTGGAGCTGAAGAGGGAGCTGCCGGATCAGAATGTGAGCTTGGAGCACCCTCTACACATCAGTCGTCAAAATGCACTCGCAGCAGACGACCATGTGTCAGTGTGCGTTTGGATATGAGGAGAAAGGGAATGGAAAAGTCCGACAAACTGACTTTTAAAAATATGTTGTGGTAAAATGGTGTGAAATATGAGGCTGGAACTCAATACAAGAATGATTTTACTTGTCGGGTTGACTTATGTTGGGTTGACTAATGATCAAATCTAATCACTAATCCCAATTATACTTACAGAATCAGAAAAAAAAGACTAAATCAAAGTAATTAAGTCATTTGACCGAGATCACACCCAGAGCTTTACAATGTTTTGCAAAAAAAAACAAAAACAGACAGATGAACATTTTTAAACTTAAATCTTATTCATCTTTTACGTAGAATGTTGTCCACCAACATCACTATTTAAGTACATTTTATAACACACATTTCAAAGCAATTATAAAGTGTTTAACGCAACCCCAGAAAACAGGCAAAGGTGCAGTAGAAAAAAACTGAAAATAAAAACCCCTCCAACTCTGATTGATCTGTTTGTTTTTTTATCCAGTGGTGTTGCTCTTACAGGACATAAGCAACAGGAGAGCTGTGGAAAATAACTATTTATTTATGTTTAACTTTAGTCTAATATCCAGACTGTGGGAGACTGGACATAAGAATAAGCAGTATACAGGACAAGAGGCGCTGAGGCTTCTCCTCCTCCTCCTGCTCCTCCTTCACTTCCTCCTTCTCCTTCACCTCCTTATATTCCTCCCTTTCCTTCTTCTCCGCAGTCTCCTCCTCCCCGTCCCCCTCCTCTTCCTCCTCCTTCTCCTCCACCTCCACTACCTCTTCGACCTCCTCCTTCCCTCCCTCCTCCTGCTCCACCTCCTCCTCCTCCTTCCCCCCTCCTCCTCTCCTCCTTTTCCTTCTCTCCCTGCAGGAGGTGACAGCAGTATGACCACAGAGCTGGACAGGTGCTCTCAGTGGCCCCTGAGCTGTCATCATCATCATCTTCATCATTGTCATCATCATCGTCGGCCCCTGGTTCCACTGGTTCCACTGGTTCCACTGGCAGCGATACGTGAGAAGAGATGTGGCCTTGTGTTATTAGAAAACAACATGAGGTCCTGAGCCCGTATAGTGTGGCCCGTCATATAACTGCATGACATATGGAACAGACTCATGCAAACACACTTTTTAAACACATTTTTATGATTATTTAATGTTACGGGTAAAACATGATTTGTGACATATACTAATGAGAGCAAAGTAAACTATGGGTTTGTAACATTGCCCAGAATCAGAATAACAATAGTTCTCAGGTACGCATTAAACAAAATCAATTATTTAAGATAACAGACGATTCCTAGATATATATATATACCTAGATCTATATATATATATATATATATATATATATATGATAAACTCTCGATCTACTGTTGCACTAGTTGCAGTATGTGGAGTACACACTGTGGTTGGCAAGGAGTTTCACAATTACAGCTGGTTAATATTTTACTTTAGCAGCAGAGAATATGACAGAGTAAATAATAATGATAATAATAATAATACAAATAATTACAATGGTAATAATAGTAATAATAATAATATAGAATGATATGGAACTAATTTATCCTTTGAATGGAATAATGCATACATCCGTGATTAACAAACACTTAAGCAGACATTCGGCATTCATGGCATTGTAAACAAGTGTCCTCAGATGTGCAGAGTACAGAGAGTGAAGGCCCTGTCCTGCGGCTGACACAGCCCAGTCTGATCCTGTGGAGACGGCCATATGTGACGTATGTGACATATGTGAGCGTGTGTGAGTGTCTGTGAGCATGTGTGAGTGTCTGTGAGCGTGTGTGAGCGTGTGTGAGCGTGTGTGAGCGTGTGTGAGTGTCTGTGAGCGTGTGTGAGTGTCTGTGAGCATGTGTGAGTGTCTGTGAGCGTGTGTGAGCGTGTGTGAGCGTGTGTGAGCGTGTGTGAGCGTGTGTGAGTGTCTGTGAGCGTGTGTGAGCGTGTGTGAGCGTCTGTGAGCGTGTGTGAGCGTCTGTGAGCGTGTGTGAGCGTGTGTGAGCGTGTGTGAGCGTCTGTGAGTGTATGTGAGCGTGTGTGAGTGTCTGTGAGCGTGTGTGAGCGTCTGTGAGTGTATGTGAGCGTGTGTGAGTGTCTGTGAGCGTGTGTGAGCGTGTGTGAGCGTGTGTGAGCGTGTGTGAGAGTGTGTGAGCGTCTGTGAGCGTGTGTGAGCGTCTGTGAGCGTGTGTGAGCGTGTGTGAGCGTCTGTGAGTGTATGGGAGTGTCTGTGAGCGTGTGTGAGCGTCTGTGAGCGTGTGTGAGCGTCTGTGAGCGTGTGTGAGTGTCTGTGAGCGTGTGTGAGCGTGTGTGAGTGTCTGTGAGCGTGTGTGAGTGTCTGTGAGCGTGTGTGAGTGTCTGTGAGCGTGTGTGAGCGTGTGTGAGTGTCTGTGAGCGTGTGTGAGTGTCTGTGAGCGTGTGTGAGTGTCTGTGAGCGTGTGTGAGCGTGTGTGAGTGTCTGTGAGCGTGTTTGAGTGTCTGTGAGCGTGTGTGAGTGTCTGTGAGCGTGTGTGAGTGTCTGTGAGCGTGTGTGAGCGTGTGTGAGTGTCTGTGAGTGTCTGTGAGTGTCTGTGAGCGTGTGTGAGTGTCTGTGAGCGTGTGTGAGTGTCTGTGAGCGTGTGTGAGTGTCTGTGCCTCCTCAACTTTGTAAACGTAATTACACCAGTAATGACCGTTCCACAACACCATGCTACAGCGGCACGCCTACACTAACCATAAAAGTGTCAGGACATTTGAATTACTATGGCACTTTGGAAACTTCATAAATCCATTTGTTTATTTGTTTAATGAATTAAGTAATGGTTTAAAGTTAAAGCAAAAACAGATATTGAATTAACCCTGACACTAATTAATCCATCCATTTTCTTCCCCTTAATCCATTTCTGGGTCGGGGGGGTGGCAGTCAGAGCTGTACCCAGTACACAGAGCACCAGCCCCTCACTGATCCTCCTGCAGGTGGTGAGTCCACAGGAGCTGAGATCTTTCAGTGGTGGCTTCAGGCAAAGTGGGGTTAAGTGTCTTGCCCAAGGACACAACGACAGCGGTCATCAGTGGGAGTCGTGAAGTAGGTCTTACGGTGGGCTCGAGCTCACGACCTTCAGGCCCAAAGGCCAATGCTCTACCAACTGAGCTACTGTCGCCCACAATTAACCTTGACACTAATCGTGCTACAATAATACATAGTTGACAGCAAAACTTGTGGTCTGTATGTTACTGCACATTTTTCGAAAAAAAAAAAAATGTTTTATATATATCTCAGTTCTCCGTATTTCTGAAATAAATAATTAAATGCACTTGGTGTATGTTTTTGAATTTGTTGAACCAAAATAGTGAAGACTTGGCTTGAAAAGAACAGAAATAGGAAAAAGATATGTATATTGATATTCAATTCATTCAAATGAATTTATTTTTGTACAGCCCAAAGTCACAACAGCAGTTATCTGAGAGGACTTTGCAAAACCCATAATAGATAGAATTCTCACCTATAATATTGACTAGTGACCAAAAAAGTCTGAATCAAATTCTTAACATACACAATTTAATTGTTTTAGTTTTAAATCATTATTGTAAAATGTATACAATCTTTGAAAACACATGACCTGAGATCAAGCATAATGGCCGAAGAGATAAACTACCACTAAAACTATTCCTAATAATAGTCATTTTCAAGAATCTGCTCTGATCCTGATAAAACTCCATCTTTTTCCACATGTTTGGACCAGGAGAGCCTTCCCACTGGAGACACGCCCTCACATTCCCAACACCTCTGTTTGTAATGTTGGAGCCTTCAGTGGTGTCTGTGAGAGAGTGGGCCCCCAGTGTCAGTGCCAGTCCAGCGCTCGGGGCAGAGATGGGGCAGAGACGGTGCAGGACGTGGGCTGGTTCTGAGCCTTCTTTATGCTGCTGGCCCTTCGCTCCGATCGAGGCTTTCGCACCACTCTCACTCACTTCTCACTCCCTGGGTTCCTCCTCTCAGGTCATAAATTAAACAGAGGGAGGGAAAGGGAAAAAAAAAAAAGACCAGTCTGGATTTTCCTTTTTTTTGGTTAATTTTTTGCACTTATTGCATCAGAAAAAGGCTGAGTATTTGAAAGAAAGTGAAGTTGTAGTAGTGAGGTCTGAGGGGAGCGCTCACTTGGGGTCTGGATTTACGACCGTGGATGTTGTTGTGTCTTGTGTCTGTGGGATTGTGTTGGTGGTCAGAAAGGATTAGGTTTAGTTTTATATTATTGCATTGTGCACTTTTCATGGGATCATTTATTTCAGACCTGTGCAAATATACTTTTAATACAAATAGTAAAAAGGATGCAAAACAAAAATAAATACTTTTTTAGTACCTATTTTTAGTGACACTTTTTGTATCTGTGCATTTGAGGCTTTCAACTGGACCAGTGTCAGGACCCGCCATCAGCAACCAAAATGAGAACTGATTTTAGTTTTTGAATAATGTGCTTTATGAGAGTTGAAAAATACTGCAAAGTTAAAACTATAAAAACAGTAACACAGACTCAGGTAACTAGTGACTAATTTCAAGTGATTAACCAATGAGGCAACTGTTACATATTTTAAAGTAAATTCTGTTTTTATAAAAATGTTTGTGAATTTAGATGATTTTTAAAGAATACAAAAGTTGGATTATCAACAACTTTTAACAATTTTTTCTATTTTTTTTTTTTTGCAGTGTAGATATCTTAAAAATGTTGCCAAGGAAAATACTTGTGACCCGTTGTTGGACCTTGCCCCACCAGTTGAAAACCACTAATTTATTGTGTCTAACAGTCTAACAGTATTCATATTCCTATTCTTACTGCATTGCAACACTGGAATTTCCCCATTGTGGGACCAATAAGGCCCTTTTAGCTTACTGTAATGGGAGAAAAAACTGGTCTTTGCACCAAACTTTCAAACCAAAAACAATGAACTATTAAAATCCATCTCAGTAGTACGTCACGCTCAAAAGTATGAAATAGGAAGAAAAAAAAATCATACGATAAAGACAAATAATAAGAACAACACAAATATATAATGCTGTATTTTTTCTATGGTGGGGATAATTTTAGCATTTTGCCTTGAAATCATACAATCTTTCAAAAATCATTCAGCACAGACAAAGAATTTATGTGAGACTTTTTAATACATTTTGAGACAAACATCCACGTTTTATGAATCGATACAGAAACACATGCGTCTGTACTTTCTCCAACTCCATAAACACCAGAGAGGACAGACGCTCCTTGCATTAGCTGGTGCACGGATGCGACTAAGAGAGTAGCGAGGGGTCAGCGGGGGGCACAATATGGTCTCGAGCCGCAGGACGCCTCTCACAGCCGCGCCTGTAAAAAATAAAGCTGGTTTGAAGTGACCAAATCACGAAGCGCTCGACCTTAATTTGTTTGTATGGTCTTCATTTTCCGATTGGCGTATTGAATTCAGTCAGGTCGCATCTACGGAAGCCCTCGGTGCACACTGCGACAATGACTTAATGACATGAAAGGACCAAACATTGCACAGCTCAGTGGCTTGGATTGCTCGCGATTATCTCTTTGTGAAACCGAAAAGATCCAAATTATGAAATATCATGTGGCATCTATTGAGCGGAATCACAAAAAGTCCCATTGAAAGCCCCTTAAATGGCTTTGCATGAGCCCTGTGCACCGAGCCATATGGAGGCCTCGCCATCTCCTCATTTCATACATGTTTCTTTTGACATCAATAACGCCGCGGCATCCAGTGGCGCTTGGAACGCATCCAAAACAATTATAAAGTTGCCGTGGAAACTGCCGTCCCGTGCCAGGGCGAGGCATACTGTCTGCGCTCAGATAACCGCATGGAAAGTCACGGCAAACAAAGCACATGACAGGGCTGCACCGGAGGAGGGAGGTGAGGGATGGCACAGTTGATGGAATAACAAAAGCTCGCAATGTGGTGGATTTGGATGTCCAGAAATGATCAAA